ATCAAGAGCTGTTCTCTACAAATCCTACAAAGTCTTCATCAACAGCAGGCATTATTTTCTCATATGTGCAAAAATGTCTATTTCCTAGTTGTCCATAAACCATCCACACAAAGTTTCTATATGCTGTGCTCCTTCAGAATCTATAAATTAATAAATAAGTATTTTTAATAAGTCGCTTACTTGCATGTGAACACATGTAAATATATAATAATTCAATAATTGTACAGTATGTACCGTATATAAACTCTCAGTTTATACCGTAACGCATGCGTGTGTTCACTGATAGTAAACTCGGGTACGGTAAAGTGTTTCTTAATTTCAATATGTTGATAAATAAAACTTTATTTACCTATCTTCTGTGCTTGTTTGACGGTATTCCTGTTTCTTTCTTGTTCGTAATTTCGTGGCTGCTGAACGGAGAGCTCACTTATCTAGCCATAGCTGTTGAATTATACATGATGGCGCGACTTCAGCTTCTTGCATCACAAATCACAATGTCACTCCTCAATTTCCATACAACATTGACACTCTTTAGCATAATTTACAAAGCAGTCCAATGCGACAATTGCCACTTTTACACATGAAATATTATAGTTTGTAATTTACAACACAAGGTCAAGTCACGCAACAAAATCAGAGTGAAATATTTACCATTTACTCAATTCTTCTGAACTATCAAGCCTTTGTTGTAATTGCTTAAGACGTTCGTTGTGATTGCTTTTTTTCGCGGTAACTTTTGAGGCAATCTTCGTCGGTCACTGCATGGTTCATTAACATATGGATCAAGCAGCGCCGATCATTTGTGCGCACGACGTTGACCACGCTTCACTGGTGTTTTCATCGATTTCACTCGATTTGATACGGCCCAGGAATATAATTTCAGGCAGTCATCGCTTTGGTAACTGTTATTTTCCTATCTGAACTTGACGAAGACATTTGTATCGAATTTTGACCAGCTTGATTGTGATTCTCACTTAGTATTTATATACTTTTCACTTAGGCGAGAAGGCAATGTCTTCCTACTATGACGTATTAGTTACCAATTTCCCAGCTTCGCGGTTTTCAAAAACTTTTGCCGTTAAAATTTGAAATTTTCAAATTTCATTGCCTTATTACTCTGTGAAAACAAGCTCAATTTTAAATCTGTTTTGTATTTTCATAATCTACGTTTCAAGACGATTCTAATGATGTAAACTCTCATTTTGTGACAGGGGCACTTTAAAACAAAGAACACCATTGAAATCCTAACAAAATAACCTTTTCATTGGGGGTCCAATGCCGTCAAAACAAGTACACAGACCGAAACAATCGTATATTTACTCACCGCTTGGCCAAACATTCTGTATTTTCATATGGAGAAAAAGTTGAATATCTTCTAAAGGCCTCTAAACTCTTCAGAATTTGCCACAAGTTAATATGAGTGAAATATTCCTTGTATTCAAGCACTTTTATTTTGAATTTTTCAAAATATCGGGTTTTTACTTGCACGCATGTGCTGCACATAAAATTGGCCAATAAGGATTACCCGTAGCCCAATGCACATGAACATCATGCTGCAGATGTAATTTGACCTTTAGAGCGCTAGGATGTAAACATGCGATGTTTTCGCAATCTAAAGTGTATTTTCGGTCAAAAATATTCCGCTGATTTCACTAGTATCACAACAGATTGAACTACCGAAATAAAAGACGAAAAACTGAGGCTACAAGCTTGAAAATAACACTTTAAATAGTGTTTTGGATTCTGGTTCGAATAAGACTATACCGAAAACGATATCTCCAAAGGGGCAGAAGTTATGTTCGGCGAAAGGTATGGATAGTTTACATTGTTCAAGACAACTGATTAATATAATGAAATATGACACTGCATGACCTCTCAAAAGGTCATAAATAGTTATACAATTTCACTAAAACTATATTTGACTAAAACTATCGATAGGAATTAAGAGATATTGTTTCACTGAATCGAATGGTGGTATTTTCATCTACATAGCATCCACCAAACCGAAGATATGAATAGGCAAAGTCATAGACTGTGCACATTCTACGTTTATAGGGGCCTGCTGAGAAAGAGTTAATTGCTTTTCCACCACGCCTTTAATTTAATAACTCGTTGCACGAACGAAATAATATCCAGTGAAGTAAAAAACTGTTAAATCAGCCTTGCACAATTCAACAAGCTATGCTAGGTTATACTATTGAATTGCGAAAAAGATCTGGATAATGCAGACGAAATCGATTTGGATAATGTAGTAGAGAAGTGGGCTAACAACTACACAACATGCCCAACGTATAGCTTCATGACATTTTACTAAGCTATAGGCTAGGTGCGACTACGGCCTGAGTCTGACTATTGTTGTCTTGCGGGATATTATTGTGCATTTAAAATAAAGTAATTTATTTCTATTGGATTTTAAAGTAACTTCTCAACATTAAACAAGAGTTCTCAGCTGTCTCGCATTTTTATCGATGCGCGATGGTTCATCTGAAAATTCACTGTTGTGTTTGCTAAATGGGGACTTACAACACGGTTTCAGATCACAGCCCGAAGTTTGACCTGCTAGATATTGCGTTATCAAGCATAAATATTTTAACAATCTAACCATTCCGAAGGCTTCAAGAGGAATATGTGACAATAGCAAAAATATTTATAATTGGTCACAGCAGGAATAGCTTAATTATCTATTGTAGTAATTTACGGCAATGCTATTGTAAAGTGTCAAAGTTATTGATTCCTTCATTATCCAAGAACTAAAGGAAAAAGCTAATAAAAATAGCTATTTCAGTACTATTTTACAAAAAAGAACTATTTTTGAATATGTCCTATTGTATTACATATTTTCCTGCAATAAGATCACAGACGTAATACAAGTCATTCTGATTCTCCAGCCGGAGCTGGGAAGAAAGCACAGCAGCTCCGGCAGGTAAAAAACGCTGGAGCTCCAGCAGAACTCTGGCACTCCAGCGCACAGCACTATTTTTTCAAAATCATGCAGACTTCAAAATCATGCAGGCTATAACACTGTTTTGTGACCATCAGAATTCTGTCAAATCGTCCCTATAGTCCAAGAAATGGGATTTCATAGACCCTAAATTAAAAAAATTTCCCCTATAAAGTCTCGCGCACCTACGGCGTTGGCCTCAGCCCTTGGGCCGGATGTAGGGGTCATCAAACTGGTCACAAGACTAACGTAAAAATTGCAAACTTAATTAAAGTCTTAAATATTCAACCAATAGTGCAGTTATTTTTTATCATGCAGCGGCACCTTATAACAGTCCAGTATCTATTATCATGCAGCACTAGCAATTAACATTGCAATCGGACTTGTAGTCCATTGATCAAATTTCATACAGTGGCTGAGCCAACAAGCTTAGTCAAGTCAATGAGCAGCTGACATATACAAAGTCGATCAGTCAAAATCCAGTGTTCTGATTGGCCTAGACACATTTTTCCCATAGAAACAAGCGTTTTTTTAGAGTTTGACTGATCTGTGGGGAGTTCTGACCGATTTACAAATGTCAGGGGCATACATCAGTCGAAATATCATTAATAGTTGACATGTGGTGAAGTCTTTCGGAACGTGCGCTCAGCAGCATAACAATATTTATTAGTGAACAAAGATGCGTGCCAGGCACATGTATTAAGTACACATGTCTTGATTGAGATTTAGCTATGACAAATTTGCATATTTTTACAGTTGAAAGACTGTCAGAACTCAGAAGGCTATTAACATCGAGGATAACTGATACAAATGAAGTATCCATAGGATATAAAGATCAGGTTTATAAATGAATGTTAATGTAAGACTTTTATAATACTGATATATGTCTATTTAAGTAATATGACACTGTAGTGATTACTATTCAAGTGGTCAATGACTGAACAAGGCTATTAGGCAACTTAAATTAGTGTAGTACCATCATGAATTTGTTAAACATAACACTAGCAATCCGTAATTTGATAAAATGAAACATCTCCCACAATTATCACAATTCTGCAAGTACTTCTTTCCCTAAGGAGCGAGTTAATTTTTTGAGGTTTATAATTTTTTGTTGAAGCTGCTCTCAGAGTGTTGCAAATGGTGTTTCTGAGGTTCAAAAATAAATTTCCTGGGGGACAGACCCCCCGGTGCCTCATGCATTTGCTGCTCGCAAAACTAGACTGTACATTCGAATCCTGGATCCACCCCTGCTTGGGCCCTTGTTTCAACCCCCCCCCCCCCAAATAGAAAAAGATCTTGCTACGGCACTGCCAACCTCAGACCCAGGGTCTACATGTTTAAAGGTTCTGGTGCACACGTTGGGACCCTGGCAAACACTGATTGCATGTCAAAAATTTTGGAGATTACATAATTTGTAACTTTATGATCCGGGGGATGATGGCCAACTGTCACTCAGGCATGGACCCACGATTTCGGCTGATTGATTTATCAGTGCATAATACTTGCATAAGTAGGGGGGTCTGGGTGTATTCCCCCCCCCCCCCCACGGAAAATTTTGGGATCTAAAACCTCTGACATGCGATTTCCTGCATTCTGAGTGAACATTTTATTCAAATATCGACTTTGAAATCCTAGTACTAAGGGGCGGACCATTAGAAAAACACCGTGGGGGGTGACAATTCCCAAAAAAAATCCTGCAAAAAAATATCCTGCACATGATCTAGTCTGAAAAAAATTCTTGCAAGCGCAGTGTGATGACTGAGTGTATATGTTAAATGCAGTATTAAATAGCCATTTTCTGTGCTCTTGGCTTTCCAGTGACACTTTCGAAGACGTTTTTTGCTGCTCAGCAGTTCTTCTTGTAGTATATGCTGCTTCTTCTAGCAAGAACAATGTATGTTTCTAAAAATATACTTTGATCCACTTCACTCTTCCAAGATAAAGTATTTCATACACTGTATTGCGCGGCATATGGAAAATATGGCAGAAAGCACAGCTGAAGACGATGTCTAAGTTCAAGTGAATATAAAGGATTCACAATTTCTTAGTTTTCTCAAGGAAATATCCCTTGAAAAATATCAAGATTTTATAAAGACAGGTATAAGTGATATTAGTCACCTTGAAGATGTCTCAGAGGACGATATTGAGGATTTTAAGTTTCTCATCAAGTTCGAATTCAAGAGGCTTCTATGGAAATATAAAGCCCACAAAGATTCACTTCATCTTCAAAAGACGGAAACTATTATTTTAAATAATTCTACAAGAGCAGGAAATGTGGATGCCAAGTTACAGGACGTCCAGTCAATCGAATGTGATTGCTCTTCCCAAGGCATTTCGGAACTTTGTCCAAACCAGAGATGGAATGAGAAATGTTGTCATAAAAACGGACACCCTGAAAAACAGTTCAAGAATCTTTGGTCCGAACACCCAAAAAATCCTACCCACTACTTTTCAAACTCATTTATCTTGCATATGGCAGCAGAAAGGATGAAGTTTGTTCAAACCTTACACCAATGTGAGTTGTGGTGCCGGAAACGATGGAGGCGAAAAAAATGCTACTAACTACTAGTAAACCACCTGTTATAAACTCATGGAGTCCATACTACCAAACATTAGTGTATATGGCCAGCTCGAAGAACTTAACTCATTCTCATCCAGTCGAAAAGTAGCAATTTTGAGTGGTGTTGTTTTAAACGTATATATCTTTCAAACTATACATCATACGGAAACAGAAATTGCATCGTTCGAAAGAGGAGGACTTCCGCTTTCCAACGATACCAATTTCAGTTTCATCCCGAGCTTGGTTAACGATTTACTCGCATAAATTTGCATAAATTATGATATAAAAAAAATGTTGCAATTGTGCATAAATGTATTTACCGGTTCAAATTTCGAAAATGTCAAAATGTTATGAATGTAACTGAAAGACCCGGTTTTGATCTACATGTACCCAAAGTTTCATGCATGTACCATAAATAGAAGTATTTTTATTGAATTTTTTAATAAACTATGTAGTGGAGTAAAATTTACATTTTGCGCTCACATGAAACAAATACCCTTATCAAATGTCCTTTTTCATTGCTGCAACATATTATCAATACAAATTTCCAATATTTCTTACTCTCCAAGGATAGCATGGCACCAAAATAAGTCTGTGACACCCACAAAAGAACACTCAAATCACTATTTGCAAAATGTCTTTATTTCTATGATTACTATACACATTCTTAGATAATCAGTACACCATTGACTTAGTTATCAGTGGCATAACCAGCCTGAAAATTTGGTCGTGCTATTCAAATTTTAAATAATCATTACTCATTTCTTTAGAAATTGATTGTTTTCACAATCTAGAAGAACATGAAAATATTTGCATATAGCATGACCAAGTGTTGTTGGGCTGGCGTCATCTTTAGTAGTTGTAAAAAGGTAATGTTTTCCAAGGCAGTAATGTTTGCCAAGGCGCATAATTGGATTATGTGGTGAAACATTTCCTTTTTTTGCACAAAATATATATTGGACCACGAAAGACCTAAGACTGTAACGAAACTTATATCACATCGCCACGTCATACCCAAATCCATGCTGCTATAAATCTCTGGACTTCTTCCTGTATAAATCTCAAGTCGCAATATAGCCATTAGGACTGTCTGCAGCAACCCACAGATTTATCCCCCACATAGTAGGCCATCTTTCATGAACTGCCTAATCCCCAACCTATTCCTTGATTTGACAGCAATATTCTGTGATGGCTGGTACAGTTGTTGATGCAGTTTATTGCTGTAGTCTTCCGTGACAGGATCTACCATATTCAGAAACACCATAAGCACTTTGTACCTAAACCGAGAAATTATTTCTATTGCCCACAGACCATGATATAAGGTTTTTACACTCCAATAGTTTTCAATCTCACTGTCGACCTTTACCAAACCTGCATATACTAAAAAGGCAATCAACCTCTGAATCTCCTCAAGGTTGGTGGACCCCAAGACCCTTCTTTATTAGTATATGGGGATGATTTTTGGGTTATTTGTATGTGGGCATATGTATTGGTAAGGCCAGGAAACTACCTCCTGAAGCATTCCTTTAGTAAAAAAGAGCCGAATGAACTCAAAGCTCACAGTTCATACTTCTGGTGAAAGCTTAATCAAAATGGATCCCGGACATATCGGTGAGGGGCAAAATCTGGGAGAATATTGCTAGTGTCAGGATCACCATATCCGTCATGTACTATGGGGCCTAGTGGGGGTGCTAGACAGGGAGCTTTCAAAACCTTGGGTCCTAGTGGCTGTGCTTCCCTCTACCTCTACTCATCCCCCTACCTTCCCTCCACACTTACACGTTTTCCTAATGGGGGTTGGGGAGTGGGGTTCTCATGACTCATCAGAACTGCTACTTCCCTGAGGCTATGAAACAGGAACAGCAGCTAGGAACAGGATCAATATCTTCGTCACTGCAAATAAAAACTTTTTTATAGATATAATTCACATGGCGTCACTTTAAATTATAATAAGAGCCAAACTAGTAAGACATAAGTATGAATACTTGGTCTATTATGTATGTAACAAACAACCGAACATGTGCTCAAGGCTCAATTTACTTTGCCTAGGAGTTTCTCATGCCTAAAACACCATAAATTTTCGTCAACAATATAAATAAATACCATTCATATTTGGCAATTTCAGTATGGAAGGATTATTTCAACACAAAAAAGCAATACGAGGACATACTTGGTTGTACTAGTGAAGCTATACTAAATGCAAATAAATTTACAATGCCATGGCAACGGCAAAACATTGAAATGGAATGTCTAAAAATGATCAAAATACTTGCCCTGTGAAACTCCAGCCATGACTCCCAATGCCAGGTTGAGATATTTGTCTTTGTACGAAGACATTCTGTCATTACTAGCACTATCAGTTTGAAAAATAAGGCCAAGAGCGTCTTGAGGATGCGATTCAAACAATACAATTACAACACAATACATTACAACGCTCGTGCGCGATAATCAGGAAAATTGCTCTAAAAGGTTTTGTTTTTCTGCCTAAGCCAATCAAAATCCGTATCTAGGGTAACAAAGCACTCCGGAAGTAATATCTGCAGTTTTTACCAGGAAACTGTAATGCTTTACCAAGAATTTGGCACCTGAAGTTGGCCGAACACTTTCCAAGCATGAGAATCGCCATAATAGGCATAGATTATTTTGCAATTTCCCGAGACTGCTCTGAGCTATAGAATTCAAGATGGCGATTCTTTTAGTATATTACTCTTTATTATACGTTGAAAAGAAGCGAAGATACAAGCATTTGAATCAGGCGGAACATTCAAAATGCAACATTGGTAATGCATCATTTGCATAAATTTCACCGCATTGATCATTTCAAGGTAAGAAATTTGGTTGAAATTGAGCGAGAAACAATAAAATTATACGAATATTTCGGAATATATAGTATCGATCAAGTGGAATTTTGTGGTGGTATTTTCGTATTTCTACTGCAAATATTCGTGGCGTTCTTTAAATTTAATATTCCCGTCAGATACGTCGGAAATCAATATTGGCGGATCGAATTGAGTTAAACTCTGACTTCCAACTGCACAGCCTACAATGAAACAAGAATTGACGAATATCTCGCTTCAATCCTATGAAATTCTGTGCATTCAAGAGTTTGCATGAAATTCTACATGACATTCAAGAATTGGCAAAGTCTATGGTGCAAGAGTGCAAAAATTCTATTGTATAGGTATCGGTAAAAGAGGGTAAGTGTCAAATTGTGTGAACCATTAACAGTTTGGTTTTATAGGGAAAAATTGTATCAACTTCAATGCAAAACTTAGACTCTAGAAAAAAAAATCATGCAGACGTTTATCCTCAAAAAAAAAATCCTGCACAGAAATTTTTCTGCCCCCCCCCCTCCAGGTTTTTCTAATGGTCTGCCCCTAATTTCCAAATTTTCAACAAAATATCTTGAAAATTCAGGCTAAATTTTTCAAAAGCAACACAACTATGTCACTTTTATAAAAGGAAGTTAAATTACTTTACATGAGCCACTGTATACCAAAAAAAAACACATTCACCTTATAGTCTAGGACCTGTATATGAGTTTGTATGCATTTCATTTAGGACAGATAATCTCAACTGTTTTAGGGTAAGTTGACCATGACGGTCATAATCACTCATATTCTCATGTAAATTTGCGCGATATAAATATTAAATTATTATTATTATTATTATTAACGCTGCCCGAACCCCAATCCGGGGCGAAACATCCGAAACTGACCACACCCAAAAATGACGCTTTCGCCATACTGCTATCTACCAAACCATAACAGTTTTGGCTATTCTGAGGTGCTTATATGGTTCAGAGATGGTACTTTTGGGGGTGGTCATTGGTAAGTGTGAAATGCCAAGCAATAATATTTCACAAGAAAATGGCCATGCAATAATCATAGTTAAACGTCAATTTGTGGCTTGCAAATTCAGATAAACAGCAGTGGACTTACATTACCTTTTTCCCTAAATCTTTTTGATAGAAACATAAATGGTACTTATTTAAATATATTATCCCTGGTTTGGTGTAAAATAGTTAATATTTTCTGACCGAAATAATAATTTGAAATGTGCCTACCTCCTGCAAATGGACGTATTTGGCCAAGTTCTCCACTTTACTCCGCTGTTTATCGGCGATCTCGTCGACATCCTACAAAAAATGTAAATCATCTAAGACATAATGGTATCAAGAACATTTTAAACAAGTTTCAAGTAGATCATACCTGTTTAACCATCGACAAGGTAAATCCACAACTTTGTCCAAATTCAGCGCCATTTTGTCATCCCATGTCGCTTGTTAACAATTCAGCCTTGTTACTCTTCCATCCAAGCCATTTCCATTCCACTAATAATAAATTTAACCCTTTATAACAGGAGGAAACTAAAAAATCTAAACGAAATATAAGAAATACGCCATTTTATCACCATGTAAAATTTTGCTCACGAGTCTTTCAAAACATTCCATACAAATATCGTGTGACAAAGTAACAGGGACGTGACAGGAGGGGGTGAATTATTTCACGAAGATAGAAGAAGGCTGCGTTTGAATAAGGAATGGGAGTAACTGTAAGTCAGCAGGTCCCAAGACAGGCTGTTCCAGCCTGGCGTGGACGAGGCATGGCAGCATCCAACCCACATGAATGAAGTGGTGGGAATTCCTGGGTGGGCCGTTCTCTGCCACACCGCTGCAGTTTTAAACTAAGCCAGAAGTGAGTGTTCTCTTGCCAAACCTGTATTTATAGCTATCTAATGATGTAATAGACGTATTTATTTGCATCTATTCACATTAATTTGGTTATTATTCCTTATCCTAACTTCACATCTCATTATGAGCGTTATGAATAGAAATCTATTTCATAGCACTCTCCTTCTTGCTCAGTTGAATAAGGAATGGGAGTAACTGTAAGTCACCCATCATTTGTCTGTCCTATCTGACTCCCCAACATCTTTTTCCCCATCCCTGTTCCCACACTTCACCCCAAACCTTAATATCCCAAACCTCTCCAAAATAGGGTCACATACAAAATGGAATATACTATTCTATATCAGTTAGGATCAATCATCCAAACGAGGTCGCTTGTGGAAACTTGCAGTTGGAAAAGCACAAATGAAATGCTTTAATTTGTTCATGTTCTGCAAAGCATGGAATGGATCCACACCAACATTAGACGCTAATTTTGCTGAGGCCCCAGTAGGATTCAAGACCTTAGCCAGCTGCATATAATACAACACAGTGTGACGTCTAGACCAGCCCACATGATCATTATCTCCAAACGGTCTGCACAAGAAAGAGCCAAAGTGATTGCGCATCCTGATCGAAAACCATGGAGTGTCTCACCCTCAGAGTAACATCATACAGCATCTTATTCACCTGAGTACATTACACCAACACAGCAAATATCATTCTTAACACGAGTCGAAAAGGCACAGAGTAAACGATCGATTGCTGTGGCCTCCTTTGTGGCAATGTCCCAAAGCATTTCATCATTGTTCTAATAATCAGATGTGTGCTGTTGGTCGGGAACAAGGAGAGGTACCCCCCCCCAACCCGATGGAGATGTGTCGGTGGCCAACTTGACCTGAAGGTGCCGTTCATACCGCCAAGGTAGGGGGTCATCCCATGTATTAAGAAATAGCCAATGAGCAAGCTCAGCACGAAGATGGTGGTTAAGTGGAACAAGTTTTTGCTTTAATATCCCACATGAAATGGCGGCATTCATTTCTCGGATGGACAACCTCACAGCAGGAACAGCAAGTGAAAAATAGACACATTTCCCAACTAGTCGCTGAAGGGTTTTAAGAGACATATCGCTGTTGCAGGAATCAAATTAACAAACTTGCACTTTTCTCAGATATAAAATGGAATACTTCATTAACCAAATCCGCACGAAGCTTGAGATAAGGCACTATTTGCTGTGGAACCAAAATGAACTTCTTCAAACCCAAGAAATAACTGAGACAAACTGAGACGAACCAAAACATACAGCACCAGAAAAATAGCAGACTGCACCGCGGCGAAATTATGGTCATCCACAAGCTGGGTCCTCAGCATACGCTCCCTTCGTTAAGTCAACTTGAAGTTTACCATTATGGCAGTCATTGATATAAAGAAGGCAAGGAATACCAACTGACCGAAAATAATTTGTTGCCATCAAACCAGTAGAGTGGTAAACGTAGGGTTAAATTTTCCATCGAAATGGAAGGGTGTTGTACGTAAAATACCACCCACCCAACTGAAAACCGAAATATATGCGGCTATCAGTAGTCATGTAAAGATGATAATAGCCCGAAGTACCGTCTGATCAGAGTTGTGTGTTACATAACACGGCAAATCCACTAATTTATCTAACACAAAAGGCCTCTCTTGCATCCATAGGTTAAAAAAACTAGCGTCATGACAAAAACACAGTTTTGTAGGTTCCACTGTCAGCAGTAATACTAGATGTGGCAGGGCCACACGCCCCATTTGTCCGACAAGAGAGATAGCACCTGTTGCAACATGTTCAAGAAGCGTGCTTTACAGGATAAGTTGTTTTTAAAAAATATGTGGTGGTGGTAAGTCACAATAAAAAATTCGCCCTTGAACTGCCCTTTAACATGTTGAAAATAAGGATGAACAGATACGCCTTCTCTTACCCAGCCGAGCACCTGTAGCTGCTCTGGGGATGGTTCTGGACCATTCACTAGTTCTGTCCATGCAGCAGCATGAGAGTGGAGTTGACCCGCACGGAACCAAGCAGGATCGCAAAAAAACTAGATGAGACATGTCACCAAGAATCTCACCATGTACAACATGTTGAAAAGTTTTATTAAAGCGATCATTCGCTGTCACCTCTCCGTCGACCAGCACAGGCTCACCAGCAGCATTAACCCAATGTTCACCGGTGTTTCCAACCGTATGGCACACAGGGACATCATCAAAAGGAGACTTTTCCCAGGACCAAACGTTTTCGGACTAAATAGGGAACAAAATATAATGACAGGATTCAGAAACTGATGGCAGACCCCAAGTCGACAGAGGGAGGACAGCTCTGAGCCAGTACGACCGGGAGGGTTGATTTAGATACCCATTTTTGCAAAGCTCTCCGTTCCACATGCCAAGTGAAATTATGTAAGGAAGCACCATGTAAGGAAAAACAGCTAGAAAACCAAAACAGCTAGAAAGCCAAAACAACCGTAAAATCACAACATAACACACATATATTTTAATTCAACTTTTTAATTGAACTCGTATTTCAATTACATCAAATAATTCTTGTCAAGACTAGAATGTCACACAAAGCACCTGAGAACTAACCCAAAATTAAGTAAGAGTTATTTAGGTTCCTGCAGCTTTGAAGATGTCGATGTTGATGCCATCACCTGCGACATATGGAGAAAACATCTCGCAATGCGATGACCCGGTTGATGACAATAATAGCACATAGCAGGAGGGCCAGAAGAGCATCCACAAGTTCGACCATGATAAGGACCCAACATCGGTGCCCCTCCTCAACAGGAATACGGTGACCCTGGCAATAGTGACGTCTTCAAGATGGATTTCTCCACCTTCACCAGGGTTTCAAAAACCTTCTGTCCAAGCCCAAGAACCAATGAACGAAAATGTTCCGAAGGAAGGTGGATCTTGCTCCTCGCCATCTGATAAGGGAGTTGAAAACACCCTTGCTTTTTGTGCTTGGTGTCCCGAGCCGTAAATTTTCGTAAATTTTCTTAAATTTTCAAGTGACTCATATTTATTAAACTCTACCAAAGGTCGCATAGCATAATCCGTAGAACATTTAACTACCGCAACCACCGACGGGCAGGAAAGGTCTTCAACAGTTGTTTTTGTAATTGCTCAAACTCTTTTCATAAATTCTACCAAATAAAGAAAAACCAAACGAAAAACTAAATAAACACAGAAATAAAACTCAAATCAAACCAATATGAGAAAATGACTATACTCCTGCCCGAACATAGAAAACTAGATTAGGACCAAAACAATGACATTGTGGAAAAAATAAAACACGGTACTGGATAACCATTGTTCACGATAATATGTATAAACAGGTCATTATATTTTCACTACTAATATGCCCCAAAACAGGACCCCGTATAATATGTATATGCTATTGAGTCCCTCGAGCAAGCTCTGAGTATATATAATTGCTTCGAACAAGGTAGCGATCCATACCCAGTAAAACAAAAGAGACTTGCTACTGTTGGGACATGTACGAACAACTCAATGAAAGATCATGGACAATACAAGTAACAATAAAAAGGAATTAAGAATTGATCTCTTTCATAAATAAGACATGTTTTCGTCACATATCATTGACGCAGCAACACAGTTGAGGACAATCAAATCACATATAATTATCTGTAATTTGAAAAGGGTACACCCCATTTTGATACACCCTGTATACTGAGATCATTATCCTCTAAATTACCATAGGCATAAACACAACACATGTAATCTCAGCAAAGGTAACACAAAGACAGGCAATGAGCTGTGACCAAAAAAGTATATTTAGTTGAGGTAACTATTATGCAAATATATGTACATATGAGGTGCAGTAATAAATTACTAAAATACCAATAGTGAAGTCGCAATGCAGACACACACACTACAGCATGACAAATAGTAAACTGTCATCATGTGGTTCCGGTTCCTGACCAACCCTATTTTTTTCTGCCGATCCTATTATTTTTTCAACTCGACTGACTGTGCAACCTTATTTTCTCTGGGTGGTTGCAGGCTGCTCATACAGCGTGCCAAAATGGCATCTGTTGTCACACTAATTGTTGAACCAAATTGCCTAAATTCATCCATAGGAAATATGCATCTCTATTTAATATTGATGTTGGGAATCTACTGTAAAAAGCCGCCAAAACCATGAAAAAAATTTTTTTTTAATTGTTCGACCTACCGACCCTAATTTTTTCACGTATTTGTAAATCAGTGTGTGTAAATTTTTATCTTGTTCTATTATTACCAAAGTTGTTTATTGTGTTGCAGTGCCTATCCTTACAAATCATGAAATTTGGCTTGGTCTTTTTTTCTTGTTTTCTGCTTATTGGATTTGTTTAAAATTTTCTCTGTGGAATACATGTTTTGTTCCTGTAATCATGTCAAGTTTTGGTATTTTAATGTTAAATACAATTTAAATCATTTTAGTTTTAAAATTTTGACTGTTGGGAAAATCTGAATAAATTGCATCTAGCATAATTTGTCATGGCAATATCTTTATGTACCTGTAATGAAACTTCCATCGTTTAAAGTCAAGTTTCTACACTGGAAACATTTTGAGTTACTTATTGTTCTCCATGGTGCAGTTTTTCGTGTGTTTTTTGTACGTTTGATGTTTCATTTCTGTGCTATCGCATATAAACCAAAGACCTTTGGCTTTGGTTTTATATCTTGAATAACATCTCTGGTTTCAGCACTTCTAACTTCTATGAGTGTTCTGATTGCCTCAGAACTTACTATATTCTCTTACTATATTGCTCTGATCGCCTTTGTGTTCTTTGGACGTCCACCTGAGACAATTTTTTAAGGAAATCCAACTTTACTTGTAAACAATGATAATGACCAATCCAGGTCCCTTCCAGGTCCCACTATGGCTATGCAGCAAGGACATCTACCCGACATACAATTAACACAAATACCCCAATGTTTGCCCACCCATAACACAAGTTTTGGGAAATATTTGCTGATTACTTTCTTGAACAATTAATTCCTGGTCCGACACATCGAGGTGGTAATAAACTTGACCTACTTTTGTGCAACTGTCCTGAAATCATTGGAGGTGTATCAACATTTGCTCCCCAACAATCTGGTTTCCCAACTGACCATCATATCTTGGTACTTAAAACAGACACACACAAACTGATATTATTTACCTTGACTTTGCTAAAGCTTTCGACTCTGTGAATCACTCTATTCTTTTCAGAAAACTTAAAGCCTATGGAGTGTCAGGTAGACTTCTTGATTGGTTCTCTGATTATTTAAATAACCGTCAACAAAGAGTTGTAGTAGATGGCGTCGCATCACAATCGACACCTGTTACATCTGGAGGGCCTCAAGGTTCCTAGGACCAATGCTGTTTGTCATCTTCATTAATGATGTTCCCAAGGTGGTAGAAAATGGAACAATGTTGGCCTTATTCGCAGATGACACAAAGGTTTATAGAACAATAACATTTGTTAGTGATTGTGACCAGCTGCAGCAAGCTTTAACCGACCTAGATGTTTGGAGTAGTGAGAACAACATCACATTCAACACATTAAAATGCAAAGTTTTATGTCGCGCAAGATAACCCCAATTTCCTATGTTTACTGCCTAGGTTCCAAACAGTTGCCAAAAGTTGAGGAGGAGAAAGATCTCGGAGTCACCCTATCCAGTAAACTATTGTGGGACTTGCATGTGAATGAATTAACATTGAAAGCCAACAAACTGCTTGGTTTGTTCAAATGAACTTGTCCATCTTTGACAGATACCAAAGTCAGGCATTCTCTTTTCCTTTCATTGTAAAATCACAGTTATGTTATGCAACGCAAGTACGGTCTCCATTTTGCAACAGAAAACTGAGTGAAAAGATTGAGAGTGTTCAAAGGAGAGCCAACTCGGTGGATTTTAAAAACCAAGACTGGTGAGATATCTTACACACAATTAGAACTTTTACCTAGTTGTTACAACAGAGAAATCAAGGACCTCGTTTTCTTCTTGTACGGTTCCATTAACCTTAACATTAACGATTATGTTTCTTTTGCTGATAATGGCCGTATCAAACTCGGTCAGATCACTAGCGTTATCCTCCAAACACTTTTGTGTGATACCACTACATTTTAATCATTGTATTTTAACCATATAGTTAAACCAGAGAATATTGTATGGAAAGAGGTTAATCGTGAAACTTTTTCCACCCTATCTCTTTTAGAAACTTTCTCAAACACTCTCATCTTCTTCACAGTCTACAATGTTGAATTATGCTGTACCTGGTCCTTGATTCAGGACTGTCCCTGCCATAGAACTTAAGTTTGTGTGCATGTGTTGTGTATATCTATGTGTGGGTTTGTCGACACACCGTTCATTCTTTCTTCTTTGTACACCTTTTCTTCCAAATTCTAAAGTCCCGTCCATACCTTGTCATTTCGGATAACTCGCTAAAAACATTAAAAAAACAGTTTCACTGCAAAAAAAGCTTGAAACAAAACCCAGCTACTTCGCCACTCATATAAATCACTTGCACCATTGCTTACATGTCAAGTGACCAACTAGTTGATGTGGGAGAAATTTGCATAGCAACCAACCGCCGTGCAAGTCATCCAAAGAATGGAAGGCAGACCCAAAGCTGCACAACTGGATATAAAATAGTTATACAACACAAGTTAAGCAGATGCATGTTAAGTTAACATCTACAGGTGTATGTGTAGCATACTGTGTACACAGCAAACTTCCTGCATGTAAAGGCAGTTATACACTGTACAGTAAGTTACCTGGATACATATTGTAGTGATGCTCAGTGGTCAAAGCGTGCACCAGAATTGCAGAACAATGTTTGGAAAATAAAGGCACGAGCAGATGTGAGCAGACGTGTATTTTAGTGCTCCACGACAGTACAGTATACATATCATCAAGTTTACTCTACTAATGGGTTTTAATCAATAAAAGTATCACAACAATGTCCTTAACAGAAAACTCGTTGGAAAGGATTCTTGACAAGAAACTAAAACCGCTCGGAGAAAAGATTGAAGGACTCGTGAAATCAGTCGAATTCATTAGTTCTCAGTATGATGAATTGCTGATAAAACACCAGAATATGGAAGCGATAAATTGCGAATTACAGAAGGAGAATGAATTGCTGAGAAACGAAGTTTTAGATTTGCAAAATCAATCAGAGCAAATGTGGGATAAGGTTGATGACCTAGAACAATATGGCCGCCGCGATTGTCTTGAAATTTGCGGCATTCCAGTTCAGAAAGATGAAAATACAGACGATCTGATAATCTCAATCGGTAATCTAGTCAATGTTAATATAAAACCGGAAGACATTTCCATTAGCCACCGCCTTAAAAGTTCGACAAGGTAGAAATTCCCGCCAGCAATTATTGCGAAATTCGTCCGACGGGATATGAAAGACAAGCTCTATCAGGCCCGAAAGCACCTTAAGGAGAAATCCACGGTTGATCTTGGGCTTGGAAGACTTGCCGATAACAAAATATATATCGCTGAGAGCCTGACTCAGAAGAACAAAGATCTATTTAATAAAAGTTTGGAGATGAAGTATTCGATGAAATATAAATTTATTTGGACAATACAAGGAAAGATCTATTTACAGAAGGATTCAACTACTCCTAAGATGTTAATCTCGTCTATGCGTGATCTTGCCATCTTGGCACAATCACAAAGACCCAATTATCTAAATATGCCAGAAGACAGACAAGATAAGTGAACCGTAACGTTATAATTTAAATATATTTACATAGCAATAACTTATAAGCTAAGATGACATCTAACATTGGCTCACTACCTCAGCTAGATCTGTTATTGAATTTAAATTCTAGCAGTATTCTTCCTGATTTAGATCCTGACTTAAATTTACCTCAACAAACAAATTTCGGATATTATTCTACATCAGATTTTAAAAACAGTTACGAAATCTCAAATTGCACTTCAAACAATCACTTCTCAATTCTTCACTCCAATAGTCGAAGCTTAAATGCCAATTTTGATAGTCTATTGCAGATGCTGGCAGAGATAAGTCATTCTTTTTCTTTGATTGGCTTGACTGAAACTAAATATAAAATTTCTGAGGAAGTATTAAGTAACCATGCTATTCCAGGTTATTCATTTGTTTCCCAGCCTAGCCTATCAAATGCAGGTGGGGCGGGTTTCTTTGTTTCTGATAAATTGAATTTCACACTAAGAGATGATTTTTCTGAATCTACTCCTGATTATGAATGTTTATGGATTGAAATTCAGAGTGATTCTAAAGATGATTTAATTTGTGGGGTCATTTATAGGCACCTGCATAGTAATCTTGAAGCATTTATGGCTTATTTAGATGTAGTAATGGATAAAATCAGTAGAGAAAAGAAATATTGTGTTATGATGGGTGACTTTAATTTAAATCTCTTAAATGCAAATTCACATCCAGGCACAGATGAATTTCTAAACACATTAGGATCTTACTTTTTCAATCCCCATATCACGGGCAATAGGACAGGTGTAGTGTTGTTAAATAGAAAGTTAGAAATGGTATTGTACTTACTCATGTATTATAATTATGTTTAAAAGATCAGAATATTCATAACTTCTTATTTTGTTTCATAAATAGTTCTTTAATTAATATTCGAAACAAATTCCATATCTGCTTCGTCTGCCATCGCCATGTTTACTCGTCCCAATCTACATGCTGCACGGCATTGCCGCCCCTCCTGGCAAAATAATAAGCAAGCGAGAAAAATTAAGGAGAAATAAGAGGGTAGGAACACTGTGGGCGTTTCGTGGGCGTTTCATCGCTCTGGGCGAATCAGCTTTCTCAATCTTGTATCACATGACTAATTCAAATCGTCATAGGCGGGAAGCAGCATTACACGTCATCCCTACGTCAAATAAAACGTTATAAAACGCGTCGTGGATACGTTTGTGCCATATATGGAAGTTATGGATACGTTTGTGCCATATATGGAAGTGTCACTGCATCCAGCTTATGACAACGATGTTCCTACCCTCTTATTTCTCCTTAACTTTTCTCGCTTGCTTATTATTTTGCCAGCAGGGGCGGCAATGCCGTGCAGCATGTAGATTGGGACGAGTAAACATGGCGATGGCAGACGAAGCAGATATGGAATTTGTTTCGAATATGAAAGAACTATTTATGAAACAAAATAAGAAGTTATGAATATTCTGATCTTTTAAACAGAATTATAATGCATGAGTAAGTATAATACCATTTCTAACTTTCTATTTAACAACACTACACCTGTCCTATTGCCCGTGCCCATTATTTTGCAACCAACTAGAATAACCCATCATACACCCACTCTAATTGATGTGTTTTTTAATTCAATTTCTCATCATACTATTAGTGGCAATATACTTTATGATTTAACTGATCACCTCCCAAATTTTTTGATTATAAACAAATTTTCAACATTACCAAAAGGATTTAAAATATTCAAAGGAGATTTTTCTCATTTTAATGAGCAAAATTTTCTCCAAGAAATGCAATCAGTAAACTGGAACTTAGGCCTGTTTCATACGTCGAATTTCGGTCGCGTCGAATGCAATTCAAACAATAGATAATGAAGCTTAATGAGGTTTAATCATCTCATTATCTATTGTCTTAATTGCATTCGACGCGACCAAAATTCGACGTATAAAACAGGCCTTAGAATCTCTCGATGATAATGTCAATGAAATGTTTGACACATTTAATTCTGAACTAACGAAGATTATTGATAAGCATATTCCTTTAAAGCAGCTCAGTAGAAAGGATGTTAAACACAGATCCAAACCGTGGATAACATCAACATTAAATCTAGAACAGTATATTATCACCAAAAATTTTAATTGTATAGAAACAAAATAAACTGTCTAATTAAAATTAGCAAAAAAGATTATTATAATAAATATTTTACGTCCAATAAATCAAATATGAAAAATATATGGAAAGGAATCAAAGAAAGGAAAGGAATCACATAAATTCTAAGCCAAGGGGGAGTAGCAGTTCACCATCAAAAATTCTAGAGGGTGAAAATGTTCTAACTGATAGTAAATCTATTGCTAATGCATTTAATAATTTTTTTGCCAACATAGGAAATAATTTAGCTACATCTATACCTTCCGTAGAGCAACCCCAATGGATTTTATGTCAAATCAACAATTAAATAGTATATTTCTAAACCCAATTACTTCAGAGGAAATTATATTAGAAATTAATAAACTAAATTCTTCAAAGGCTGTTGGTCCTTTTAGTATACCTGTTAATATTTTAAAACTAACGAAAGACATAATTTCTAAACCACTGGAGATTATTTTTAATAGCTCCTTGTTAAATGGTATCATCCCTGACAGCTTTAAAATTGGCATAATTATTCCTATACACAAAAAAGGGTCAACGATGAGTCTTGAGAACTATCGCCCAATTTCTTTGCTATCAGTGTTTAATAAATTACTTGAAAAGCTCATGTTCAAAAGGATCAATAAATTCATCAGCAAACACAATATATTGCATAACAAACAATTTGGTTTTAGATCAAAACATTCTGCTTTGCATGCAATTTTGTCAATAACTGATAAAATACAAACAGCTGTTGAGGATGGTTATTATTCTTGTGGAATCTTTCTAGATTTATCCAAAGCTTTTGATATGGTCAATCACAGCATCCTTCTGCAGAAACTTGAATATTATGGATTCAGGGGTGTTGCACACAATTGGTTAAAATCGTACCTAGATAATAGGAAACAATTTGTAACAGTGGGAAGTATTTCATCTGGGCTATTAAATATTTCTTGTGGTGTTCCTCAAGGTTCTGTCTTAGGACCTCTTCTTTTTTTATTATACACCAATGATATTCAAAATTCTACTAGAATTCTCGATTTTCACCTTTTTGCCGATGATTCAAATTTGTTTTATGCCAATAAGAGTTTATTAACACTAGAAACCATTGTCAACAAGGAAATTTCACATGTTTATCAGTGGTGATGTGTAAATAAATTATCTCTGAATGTTGAAAAGTCCAACTATATTATATTTCACCCTGCTCAAAAGAGAGTTAATTATCAAGTAAAAGTTTCTTTAAATGGTCACCCGATTAGCGCGTTTGACGCCGGCTGACAGCCGGAAATTTTGTCTCCGATTGCTCGGCTGCCAGCCGGGCTGTACTATAGTATACTGTTCGTTCAAAAAATGCGCGCATTTCGGGGACTGGTTTTAGAATGTTTCATAAGCAGAAAACCACCAAAATTACATTAATTTTTCCGAAAATCATCGAAATACATCTAAATTCATGTCCCAATGCATATAGCTAGCTATGGGACAGGTAAATAAACGAGAAAAAAAAATTTCGGCAAAAAGAAAAATTCAAATTTGTTTGCGCGCATTCCGGGACCGAACTCACAGCCTTCAGCATACACGCTGAGTCTTGTTCCTCTGCGCCACCGCGTCTTACACGAAAAATATGTTAATTTATTGTATATATACAGGTTATTCTTAGCCAACGCGATTAAAGATTTTGTAAATACGTACACTATCGTACACGGCCAAGGGTACAGTAGCAGCCGAGCCGTATCTACACTTTAATACAATACTTACAATACATCACGGCATAGATCACGGCTTCCAGCCGGGGTTATTTAACTGTAATACAATACTACCATGCAATAAGAGTGTCAGCCAAGCCTGTTGGTAGTATACTGTAGTATACTACAATACATCGCGGCTACCAGCCGGCAATACGGCTATCAGCCGGGCCTGTCTGTAGTATACTATAGTATACTACAATACATCACAGCTACCAGCCGAGGTTATTTAACTGTAATAAAATACTACAATGCAATACGAGTGTCAGCCGAGCCTGTCGGTAGTATACTGTAGTATACTACAATACATCGCGGCTACCAGCCGGCAATACGGCTATCAGCCGGGCGTGTCTGTAATATACTATAGTATACTACAGACACGCCCGGCTGATAGCCGTATTGTCGGCTGGTAGCCGTGAAGTATCGTAGTATACTACAGTATACTACCGACAGGCTTGACTGACACTCGTATTGCATGGTAGTATTGTATTACAGTTAAATAACCCCGGCTGGAAGCCGTGATCTATGCCGCGATGTTTTGTAAGTATTGTATTAAAGTGTAGATACGGCTCGGCTGCTACTGTACCCTTGTCCGTGTACGATGGTGTACGTATTTACGCAATCTTTAATCGCGCTGGCTAAGAATAACCTGTATATATACAATAAATTAACATATTTTCCGTGTAAGACGTGGTGGCGCAGAGGGACA